AGGGTGGCACACACAGCCCTGGTGGCACACAAGGCATGGACCTGGTGGCACACAGGGCACACAGGGTGGCACACACAGCCCTGGGGCACACAGGACACTGACCCAGCCTGTTCTCCCGCAGTCTCCAGCCCCGTGTTCGGCCCCAGGGAGGTGCACGGCGTGAAGGGAGGTTCGGTCACCGTGAAATGCTTCTACCCCCCGACCCCGATGAACAAGCACGACAGGAAATACTGGTGCAGGCAGAAGGGCTCCAGCTGCCTCACCGTGGTGTCCTCCACCTTCGTGGCTGCTGCCTACCAGGGCAGGGTGACCCTCACTGACCACCCCCAGGAGAACCATTTCCTGGTCAACATCTCAGCGCTGGAGATGAGCGATGCCGGCACCTTCCAGTGTGGCGTGGGCATCAATGGCAGAGGGCTCTCCTTCAGAGTCACCCTCAGCGTTGCTGAAGGTAATTACAACCCTGGGGCTCCCTCAAATACCATTTTCTTGCTATTTTACCAATATTAGGACTCCCTCAAATACCATTTCTTGGTATTTTACCAATACTAGGACTCTCTCAAATACAATTTTCTTGGTAATTTTACCAATATTAGGACTCCCTAAAACACCATTTTCTTGGTATTTTACCAATTGGTAATTTACCAATTGGTATTTTACCAATATTAAGACTCCCTAAAATACCATTTTCTTGGTATTTTACCAATATTAGAACTCCCTCAAATACCATTTTCTTGGTATTTTACCAATATTAGGACTCCCTAAAGTACCATTTTCTTTGAGTTTTTCCCCCTATCCCTCTTGAACATAAGTTATTACACCCCTGAAACTCCCTAAAATACCATTTTCTTGGTACTTTACAAATATTAGGACTCCTTCAAATACCATTTTCTTGGTATTTTTACCAATATTAGGACTCTCTAAAGTACCATATTCTTGGTATTTTACCAACTGGTAACTTTAGCAATATTAGAACTCCCTCAAATACCATTTTCTTTGAGTTTTTTCCCCCTCTCCCTCTTAAACATAAGTTATTACATTCTCAGTCCTCCCTCAAATACCATTTTCTTGGCATTTTACCATTTTCTTGGTATTAGACTCCCTAAAATACCACTTTTCTTTGAGTTTTTTTCTTAGTATTTTACCAATATTAGGCCTCCCTCAAAGACCATTTTCTTGGTACTTTACCAATATTTTACTCCCTAAAACACCATTTTCTTTGAGTTTGCCCCCTCTCCCTCTTAACGAAGGCTCCACCTCTGGCCTGCCCGATGTGAGAGGGCTGCAGGAGCTTTCAGGGAGGGTTCATTTCATCCCCTGAGTGTCTCTGTGCACAGCCCCACCTGTTCCTGAGGATGCTGAGCTCTTCTACGTGAAGCTGCGCAGCACCTGGACCGTGACCTGCAGCTTTGGGAAGGAGACAGCCGACATGAAGAAATACCTGTGCAAGAAGGAGAAGGACGGCTGCAGGAACATCATCAACAGCTATCAGAGCACAGATGTCCCAGGGGGACTTCAGCTGGTTTTTGAGGACACTTCAGGCTCGTTCCGTGTCACCATGACTCAGATGGACTGGGAAGATGCAGGCGTGTACTACTGTGGGGCCGGTGACTATGACAAGGACGACCCAAAGAAGGAGCTGGATGTGTTTATCTACGAGGGTGAGCTGTTCCCAGAGTGTTCTCCCCTTCCTCTCTTCTGCTTTTCAGAAGCATCAGCAGCAGTGTCACTTGATTTAGCAGGAACTTGAATTTCTCTTTGCTATTACCCTATTCTCTTATCCATATACTTATTTCTATTCATTTAACCACCTGTAATGTACTAAACCATCACTAAATGAAACTTGTAGCCAGACTTCACCTTCCCAGACCTGGGTAGCTCTCTTCCCCAACCCAAAACTGCAGGAAACAAATTCCACCCTCCCAGTGTGAGGCAAGCAAGCTGTCTCTTCAAGCCCCCAGCTCCTGAAATTTCAAACTGACAGATGTAGATTGTCCCTCTAGCAAAGGGAACAAAGCTTTGGAATATCTGTCCACAAAGCCAACAACACTCCGTGAATTTGGGAAAAAGCAAGGCCTGACTGACCTTTCAGGATGAATTCCCACCAGTGCCAGGACAATCTCCTGATGTTTGCACCACTGAGCTTTCCCATAGCAGCTTTATTTGATCTGATAATGTTGATTTCCTTGGGAGGGTGCCCCATGGACACAAGTGAGACTCTTATAACTGCTCATTTCATTCTTACCAACAGACAAAAATTTCCCTCACTTCAAGACCAACATAACTGGAAAAGTTGGAGGTTCAGCAAGCTTCGAGTGCCTCTATGACCCTCTGCTAAATGACTCCTCGAGGTTCTGGTGCAAGCAGAGAGGCAGGCAGTGTGGTACCACAATCATAGACAACAATGGCCGTGTGCAGGACACCTATGAAGGAAGAGTGACCATGTTCGAGAACCCCGAAAACAAAACTCTCACCATCATCCTGAACCAGCTGCAGGAGAAGGACAAAGGCACTTACTGGTGCATGTCAAATCAGCTGAGGGAGCAGCAATCATCAACAGACCTGACGGTTGTTCCAGGTAAGGGCTGTGCACTGGCAGTTCTCTGCCTGCTCAGGAGCTACAGAACCACCCCACGTGAGCAATCTGGCTTTTTGGGAAGGGATGTGAGCTCCAAGCCTGAACTCACCCCAGCAGCTTTAAAACTGAGACAGAAATGTTCAGTTTTACAGGAAGGCATTCACAGAAAATTCTCATGAAATATTTTCTAAGCCTTACAAGAAGACATTATAAATTAATTCGCCAATTTGATTAATAAGCAGAATTTATTCCATAATTAAAATACAATTGTAAAAAGGCCACAAGCAAAGATCAGATTGGTGCTGAACCAGGTTGGGTGAGACAGGGAGGGCATTCTGTCTCCTGTCCTCTGTACATCACAAAGACACAGCTCTCACAAATTCTTTTTATACATTTCTAAGCTTCAAGGGTTTCTGGGAAGGGTTTCTTGCTTTCTTATTGTTGATTTTATCCTTTTAGCATATTCATGTAGTTTTTCCTTTCTTGCTGCCAGCTCTTGCTGAGAGTTTCCCAAACTGTTAGAGGAAAATCTCCTGCAATATAAATTCTAGGAGACACATATTTATCTTATGGATGATGAATGCATATTGCTGGGGTTTGCTCAGACAAATAATCCTCTAGAATCAACATTTCTGGAGATGAATATTCAGGCTAGGATCTTGGTGCAGATCACTGTAATCTCATCAGAGGGAATTTCCCAGAACCCTCCTTTGGTATTTTCATCAGGTGAGATTACTGTGGGTAATCAGGATTTTCATCAGGTGAGATTACTGTAGCCTGAGCATGAATTTATACACACCATCTATTACAAAGAGAACCATAAACAGCATCTTCATGTTAATTTAGCAACACAAGGAGCGCTTTCTTTCCAAGCAGGAAAGTGCTGCCAACACAATGAAGACAAGAAGGGTCAGAGGAGGCAGGAGAGAGGCCACTGAGCTGGGAGATGTGGCTGCAGCCCTGCGCTCTGTCCCAAGGCTGTCTCAAGGGGCAAGGGTCCCAAGGATGTCTCCTCCCAGAGGTTTTATTTATCCCCAGCAGCACCACCACCAGCTGAGAGCCTCTCCCATCCCTGAAACCTCTCCCCCAGCCCTGATGTCCAGTTTGCCTTCACAGGAGAACCTTCACTGACGGGAAAGAAGGTGGTGAAGGCACAAGCAGGCTCGCGGGTGAATTTAACCTGCTGCTACCCCTGCAAGTATTACTCCTACGAGAAATACTGGTGCAGGTGGAGCAACACGGGCTGTGCCATGCTGCCCGTGCAGCAGCAGCAGGGGCTGCCCCAGCCAGGGGATGCCTGTGAACCAAACGCCAGGACAGTGGTGCTGAGCCTGGACCCGGTGACCGAGGAAGATAAAGGCTGGTACTGGTGCGGGGTGAAGCGCAACGGGGTCTTCGGGGAAACCATGGCCGTGGAGCTGCAGATGAGCGAAGGTGAGCTCCGGGCAAGGCTGGC